AATTTTGTTAATAGTGGCTAGCACCGGAATCCAGGATGTGCGTTTTGTCCCAGCTGGAGACGACATGTCAACAGAGACCATTCGGTGAAGATCAGTCATTGGAAAACAGCTAAAAACGTAAACAGGAAGCAAACTATTATCTGCAGATTAGTAATGACTAAGTATTGAAGACTACTCGAAGTTTGCTTATTGTGTTCAGTGATTACATTCATTAGTTTGAAAGAACATTGACGATTTCTGGGCTGGCCAAGTGGTTCCTTGTTTTGTTATCACATAGAATGTATGACATAATAAGTGCATTGTTTTAATGATATCTATTCACAGGAAATATACAAAACTTATTCAAAGGTAAACTAGTCGCCAATTAGTTCGAATGTGTAAGGGCTATTGGAGAAAAGTAATGACTTGTCAAAAACTAGAATAAACAGTTATTCAAGATTTAATCATTTTCAGTATTTAACTTCACAGTGACTAAAATTTAACAAAAACTTCTAAAAGGTGGAAAAAGTAATTTCAAACCACTTTTGACTCAAAATTTATGGAATTTATTTCAGATTATTCGCTTAAAAACTAAAAATTTAAGTGCTTAGTGTCCTTTTTAAAAGGCAATTTTATTAACCAATCAAAAATCACCATTAAGCGAATATTCGCTCTGTCATCCCATTTTGACATTAAAATGCTTCTGATTGGTGTTTTTCCTATAGATGTGATACTGATATATGGAAACAGAGATAAGCGATGTATTTGTAAATATTCTGTCTACTTTTCTAATAGTAATAGGAATATGAATGCCGCCATTCCTCAACTGTGATTGGCTGAAAGTGAAAATATCACACTTAAGGATGACAAAAACGAGACGAAATCAGTGTACAATAGTGTTTTTGCACTTCCTACCAGAATAAAGTGGAAATTTGATAAAACATTTTTGTTCAAAAAAGAGAAAGAAAAGATACTCATTGTTTACTGGAATTCATTTAATCAAATTAACATATGAATTTACAAATAGTGGTGAGTTAAATTAACTTGAACTTACGCTTTTGCATGTATATCTTAATTATATTACTTGATCGTTCTGCTGTCTTTATCCCCTTTGATAGTTATGCATTTTGAAAAAGATGTTTTTAAAAGAAAGTGCATAGCATAGTTGTAACGTTTTATCAGTCGATGCAGCTATGACATCATTCAAAACTTTAACACTTACTTTCCGAATCAGAGGCATCCAGGTTATCAGTAGGGAGTCTTGTAGCTCAGCTTGTAGTGTGTCAGATTTTCATGTCACCTTCACTCATCATCTAATGCATTGGTAACAGTCTACTGACCACAGATTATCTCAAAATGTCTTACTATCAATTACCTAGAATGATATGACTGATCGAATTCAGTCTGTCACAAACAAAGGATTAGACACCTGTGTCCATTAAAGTCCTATGGAAGGCCAATTGCAAGCCAGAATAGCCCATTGGTAAGGTGTCTGACTGCAGCACTGGGTGACTCGGGTTCGAATTTCAAAAAAGACATAAGTTCCTTCAAGACTGCAGATATGCCTTGCTGATGAGTGACAACAGGCACGAAACCTAGATCCAAGGCTTCCTGCCGATTACCTCCAACCATCTGAAAACAATTTTCAGTAATGTATTTGACTGTCAGAATAAATTTCGTCATCAGTTAGAGAATCACTGAAAGCCATTGAGTACTGGGCAGCTGCTTCGCCCTAGTTTGGGTCTGTTCATCGATTCGTACCCATGATCATACCAATTCTCCATGCTTTTTAATAACTCTCTAACTGATCTCGATTCGTGAAAAAAAAATCCATATTGAAATCAATCAACTCCCTAGAAAAAACCAAAATATGAATTTATTTTTTGGTTGTCAGTAATACTGTGGGTCAGAAAACTCACAGTAAATTGTTAATTTAGCGTCACAGAGGCATTAAAACATTTCTTCCAAAGTACTAAGTACTTTATTCTTACAATGATAATTTATGCAGTAAGGTAAAATATCTGAGTGACCATTTTTGGAAGCTGAATAATTCCTTAGTAATTTTTCTATTATTTAGCATGATAAAATTATCAGTCCAAATAGGAAAACATCCTACCATTTTGTTTTGGTATTATTTGCTTTTACTAGTTAATTGGCTGATAGTTGCAGGCCTTAACTCCCCGCCTTCCGGTTGGTTTTCATAAGTAATAATGCACTTGAAACTATTATTACTATTGTTCCCTTGGGTTCCTAGTGGAACAAAGGGCTTCAACTGCACGTCTCCACTTGCTTCTGTCTTCTGCTGTACTTTTCACTTGCGTCCATGTTAATTCATACTGTTTCAGCTCCTCTTCACACGATCTCCTCCATGTCACCTTTGGACGTCCCACTCATCGCTTCCCTTTCGGGTTCCACTCGAGCTATGGCCTGACGCGCGATGTCACCCAGCGGCCTCCTCAGCGAGTGTCCAATCCATTTCCACTTTCTCCTGCATATTTGTTGGGTGATTGGTTCTTGTTTTGTTTGTTCCCATAGTTTCTTGTTGGTGGTTCTTTCCGGCCATCTGATCTTGAGTATAGTATGGGAGAACTTATCTTTTTTTATTTAAACTCTAATTATTTATCCTTGAAGTCAGTGAACTTACCACTGAGTTATTCATTCTAAAACTGGGTTAAATATCAGAATGGACTGACGAATAGTAGTTAGTTTAGACAGGTTTTCGTCAGTTAGTGGAATTATAAAGATGTAATGGTTCCTGTTTATCGATTTACTCTTATAAATATAAACGCTTGGAGTTGAGTAACTGAATAAATGAAACTACACACTACACTTCCATTCCATTCTTATCTACAAAAACTAAGAGACTTCAATGATATATGAAACTATAGTAAAACTTAAACTACTCCCATTTTACAATGTGGGTAAAGATCATTAAGTTTATAGAAATTAAACATTTTGTGGGGAAGGTTTTAGAGTAACCTGAACGCGTTAAGACTTAGTTTGAAAATACTCAGTATTACACTCAAACCTTCAATAGAAGTGAAGCAAACGCGTTTAATTAGTATTGCGCCATCAATAAGAATTCTATAAATAACCACAACCCTATTTACTAAGCCTTCTTTTATTTATTATTAGTCAATTCAAAAAGTAAGCAGATTGGCAATGTTTCAGGTGTCGGTTTATTAGTAACTGACTACAAGATGAACTTCCTAGAGTTCTAGTGAGAAGTGGTGACTGGTGTGGTCCACTAAGTCGGGTTGGAAAATAGATGCTCGTGGATAGCAAGCACTGACTGGTGTTGGTAATAGTTATCGGAATTTGGCGGCAGTTAGAATTCAAAGGTCATTGAATTCCGTCTCGATGGCTAAATCATCAATTGACTCGCCTCGTAACCTGGGGATCCTGAATGCCTTATACTGAAGCGTCACAAACTAGCTGCCAAGTATTCCCTGATTTTCAATAGCAGTGTTTAGTCAGTAATACTTTGTAAAAACAGAAAAGTTACCTCTCTTGTCTAGTATTCCAGGAAAAAATATATATTAAAAGATGACTAATGCAGTCTAAATAAGAGCACATATTTCCAGGTTTGTGTTGAAACTTACCAAATTTACTTTAGTTCATCGCATATATACATGTGATTGATCTATCTACGCACTAAAAAAAGAAATTAATTTCGTTTTTCAAGCGTAAAAGACAACACAGCCAGTCAGCATCATAAACCAATGCTTATCTAAGTCGTCCTTTTGTATTTCAAATAGAAACAACAGGATTTTTGACAGTTTATCATTACCCGGGAGGATATCAGCTAGCTAACTTTACTTAAGCGAGATGAAGATACTCACAGACGAATAACTTAATAAAGTTTAGAATTTATCATTGGATTCTAGGAACTCTGGAATACATGGATAGTTTTTCGAGTCACAATTTCAAAAAAGGTCTCATCTATGCGGTATTTTATTATCCACCAGAATGTAATTTTGACAACAACCAAGTACGGACCAGATGAATAGTATCAGAAACTGTAATCTCACAAAAGATGTGTCTTTTATTAACACAAGGGTGGCCTGAAAAATGATATTTAAAATTTACTGTATGCTTCCGTTAGTCTGGAGTAAATTCATCCAATTAAACCAATTTACAGGTGTGTTTAGATATTTTCCCCCGTTTAAATCAGCTTGCTGTCTTGGATGGAAACCAGACATACTACTCATAGACTTAGTCAGTAGTTGCAAAAATGATATGATGATTTAAAATGAAATATTCACTTATCGAAATGAATTGAGAGACGAAAATATGAATCACGAAGAAAATATAGATTTACAGGCAAACTCTTCTGATGAGTATTAGTAAGTACGAAAACTCGTCTGAAGAATTTTCTTCAGTTTGACTTGTACCTCTGTTAAAATTTACCCAGATACACACACCCACAAACAACTGAAGACAAGAAAAAATGCTACTGTGTTCATCTTGCTATTGAAGTTAAAAATACTTTTACATGACAGCGTAGGAACTCAAGGATTATAGATCAATCAGTAAAGTTTATAACACTTCAGGAGTAAATTGGTGGATGGTGACTAGCAGTGGAATCCAGGATGCACATTTCGCCCTATTTGGGACTCGTCATCCGGATGTACCTGCATTCCCCCGTGAGTGATGATGTTCCTACCGAGGCTCGAACCCAGTGCCCATAGTTTCAAACGCCAAAGCGTTATCCACTAGGCCGCTTGGGCCACGAGAGCCACCTCTTGTGCGCATCCTGTATTCCACTGCTAGTCACCATCCACCAAATAAACTCTAATTACATGTCCGGACATCGCTGAAGCATCTGCACAGGAAGCCGACATGTCATGTGAGACATGAGACTAAGCACTTCGGTCCAATCAATCGACGGGAAAACCTAAAATTCAATTAAATAATTTCAAGAGGAAGTCTCTCCTTTTTACTTGAATACAATTTTCCTCATTAATTGATTTTATTTCTTTTTTTATTTCACACAGTGAAGAAGGGATACACCAAGTAATATGATGTCAACAGAATGTACAACACTGGAATCATCAACTCCTTCTCAACCTTATTCTTCCAGTAAAATGTTTACATGTGATCATCAGAACAGTGTGATTAACAGTTCTTATGCATCTGCAAATACACTAATTAAAAATTTCCCATTTCCTACTTTTACGACTCTTGCTACCACTAGTGCTTCTACTAATTTCCTGTCATCATTGAATTCAACAATAACAACATCTGCCTTTCTACCTGTAACTCCATCATCGACACTATCATCCGCAACAGACAAAAAATTATCGAATGCAGAAATCAGTCAAGAAAAAGACATAAACAGCGGAAATTTTCACCTGGCCCCACAAGATTCGTATCCCAGTGAATGTAAATCATCCTCGTCATATCTATCAAATCAACAAATTAATTCGTGTAAATATACCTTACCAATAAGAGAAATGTCGATTTCACCTAATCCATTTATTAATAAAATGAATACTACAGATGTAATTAAATCGCATCATTCACTTCGATCAGTTACAACAACAACAACAACTAAACGAGTAAAAGATCATCAAACTGTTTATCATAAATTCACTAAACATTGTACTGGATGTAATCAACCTATCTTAGAGAAACTTTATCTTGGATTATCAGATGGACAATTATGGCATATGAATTGTTTAATTTGTTATACATGCGGAAAGTGTTTAGATAAAGAAATTAGTTGTTTTAATCGATATGGACAAATTTATTGTAGAAAAGATTATGAACAGTAAGTGGATTTTTTTTGTAATTGTTTTTTAATGCAGTTTGCACTTTTCTGTTGATTGATTGAGCTGAAGTGCTCTGCCTCAGGTTGACATTTCGACCCAAGTAGTAGTCTAGTGGATAATGCTTTGGCGTTTGAAACTATGGGTACCGGGTTCGAGTCCCAGTGGGAGAGCCATTACTCACTGAATGGGTGGTGCAGGTACATCCAGATGACGAGCCCCGATTGTGGGACAATGTGCATCCAGCAGTTCACTGCTAGTCACCGTCCACCAATAGGTTTTTTTTGTAGTTTTTCTCTCTTCAAAATAATGGTAATGATAATAATGCTTTCATTTGTGTTACTACTTAGCACTTGAAATGAGTAGTTCAATGAATTTTTGTGTAAATATTATTCAATCATTATTATGTTTGTCTTCTAATAGAATTATGTAAAGAGATGAGTGTCAGAGTTTCTACCCATTTTATTAGGAATTTTGTGAAGTTTCTTATTATGCTAATTTCAGTAAATACGAATTCAGGTTAGATCACGAACTAACATCAAAAACCAGGGAGTATTGGAGAGTCGTCCTGTCCTACTCTGAGACTCTTCAGCATTATGCACCCACTCAGGACCCTCGGGTTGCAAGATAAGTCTGTTGAGCATTCAGTAAATGAGACGGAATTAGTCGCTAATGAAGAAGAATAGATTACGAACTCCATATGCATACTTATACTTCCATAGACAGAATAATAAGAGTACTGGAATAAAAATTTATAACTAATTAAGAAATTGATTGTTGGATGAGTATTATGTGTCTAGGATCTGTATCAGACAAAATTTCTTAATCCACTAATTAAGATCATAGGTGACAGTATACAGTGAGTGCTGCTGTCAACTTATTAATAAAATTCAGCATAAATATAAATTTAAATTAAATTTTATTATAGCTTGATTCCACACAGTATTTTTGGTACAAGTATGAAATTTTCAGCATGTGATGTCGGTAGCCCAAATTTAGCAGGCCGACCATTGATATCAGGTGTGCGTTGGCCGGGGATCGAACCCCGTCCCATGTGCATGGTCGGCGAGCGTCCTAACCGCTGTGCGACCGACGCACAGTGATATGCAGAACAGAAAACACTAGGTCACCATCAAATCCTAAAGATACCAGTTCCTCAAGTAATCGATTTTATTCAACACAACTGTTTTCATTATTCCCTGAATCATACCAAACTTGTCTAGTGATTTGTATAGTTGTTCTCTGAACGGCTAATTAAATTTGGCGTATAATTAAAATCCACAGGTTTTGTAGAAAATTGAACAATATTTAATGACCTTCAATCTCAAGTTCACTATTATTAATAGTGTTACATTTACTAAAAAATAAAGATAAATTAATAAATGCAGACTAAAAGTGCTACACGTAATGAGGCATGATACAAATTACTGATTAGAAAACCCATTTGTAGTAAGACAATTAGTCACCCGTGTTCCAGGCACAGGGTCAACAAATACCAAGCTTTTGGACTCAGAAAATAACACACGCCCATTTACACACTGTGATAATGAACGGTTAGTTACATAATAAGCATTCGCAGGACAAATGGGTGAACCAATGGAAACTGAAACTTTGTTAACTGTAGGATCTTCTCATAACTTATCTGGCAAAACATTATAGCTGTGACACGAGACTGACAGTTCAACTTCTGTTGCAATTTATTTATATTTATTTCAAAGTAAGTCGTTATAATCTTCAACAGACTGACATTAATTTGTAAGAGTTAAGGCCATCTCGAATGCTTTTAACATGGAAAATGTTTGTTTGATAAAATGATGTAAAGAAGCAATATGAAATCCCCAGTCAGGGGTCACTCGAACTTTGAGTAAATTTTCTACTGATTTATTTGAATCCTCAGTTGTGAAAACTTCAATTTTGACGTTAATTCCATTTTTAAGGTATTTGACACTTGTTAACTTTGAAATCTAGTATGCGTGGCTAATTTTGCTTTAAAATCATTAGGCGGATTTATCCGCACTAATGCTCATTAGAGTCATCTATCGTTTTAAGAAATGTATCTGGTAGGTGCATACTGCTAAATAACCTTGAACTAGGACGAAATAGCCATCAAGTTCTCTCTGGTTTTCAGTGATCCTTTAACTGATTTCGGTATACGACAATATCTACCTTGAAACAAATTGAATCCCTACAGCCCAACACTTGAAAATATTCAAAAGGCTAAGGAATTGTGATACTGGTCACCAAAATAAATAACACTGTTTTATTGTTGACTTATTTTTTAGCATCATTAATGCACTGATGTTTTTTGAAATTTCGATAAATGATTTAAAGTTCACTACTAATCATTGTGGTATTTCAGTGCGACTCAAATTCAGCGCCGATTTCTTCAAACGCTAAAGAGTTACTGGCTCAGTTACTGAGCCAGCATAATTATCTCATTATTTAATCAACTAATACTGATGTACTGGTCTAATAAAGCCCATAATCAATGAGTCACAACTTCACTTATTGACACCATGTCTGATAACAAAAACACTTATTATCAATACGAATGCTGTTTTGGGGACGGTCTGCATCGTTGACAGATGTAGCTTAATAAACTGCAGAAGCATTAACAATGTTGAATAAGGACACAATATAGAGTCACTCGTAGGAGATTCAAGTGTTACAAGCACCTTACAGCTGTTTGTATTCCTTGGCCTTAATCATATAAAGATACAATAAAACATACAAAACAATCTAGTGTCATTAGTGGAGGATATATACCTCTATCTAACCATGAAATGAGTTGTCCCGCTGACCATTTCCTTTCATTAGTACTTTAAAGGCTCCATGTCCGTCGTTCATTACAAATTCCAAAATATAACGCAATACTTAATCAGTATTACCTTCTTTTCGAAGAGAAATTCACCACAAATGTACTGATTCTTTATGATTTATAAAGTTTGTTGCCCAGTACTGCGCAATCATCACCCCCCCCCCGGGAGTCAAACTTAGTTCTCCTGTGAAGTTGTGACCACTGGGACCCAATAAGTCAAGTGTGAGGACAGATGTCTTGAGATGACATTGGCTGATAGTGGCACAGCCTAGAACTTGTGAGTCATTGGATTCTGTCCCAGTGACTGAATAGTAAACGGACTCATCTCACGACCTAAAAGTTGTAGGTTTGATCCCCTACAGGATGATGGGTAAGTACGACTGAAGGGCAGCAAAATGGGACGAAACGGCCGTTTTCAGTGGTTCTCTAACTGATGTTACTTATTGATCTAGCTTGAAATCAATGAAATCTCTGCAAACCAACACTTGATAATACCTTTTTATGGACTGAGCTAACTCATGATGAAATCCTCTATGCAATCAAACAAAATCCCTACAAAACCAATACTTCAAAATTAATCTGATGCTCACTAGTGACTGGCCCTATTCAGGGAGTTAACCTGGGGTTCTAGTGGGAAGTCGTGACCAGTAGGGTACAGCAGGTTGAAGATGAGGCAGTAACTCATCGAAGAAGACATTGCAAAATGATCGCGCTATGTCGTGAATTGACAGAAGTTAGAATTCATGGGCTGGCCATTGGATCGGACCCCAGTGGCTCAATGGTCTACGAGCTCGCCTTGTAACCAGAAGGTCTTGAGTTCGAACTCTGCTGAAGAGCCCCAAAACTAGGGCGAAACAGCTGTGCAGTACTCACAGGTTTTCCAGTGTTTCTTTAGCTGATGTCAGCTCATAATGAAATCCTCCATGCAATTAAACTAACTGTAACAGTATTCTTAAATTCACCATACTTATAAGAGAAAGAAATGGGATGACAAGCTCTGTTGTGAACAGAGGGGCAGTAATAACCTTTTATCTGAATGATTTTTACTATCTCAATAATCTATAATGTATTGTTTGTTTGCGAGTTAGCTCAAGTGAACCCAGTGATTACGTAATAAACGGCGAGCTTAAATCACTAATCGACTGTTATGCAATGAAAACTATTTATAATAACAATAATAATAGTAATAAATCCTAAATCATAGCAAGTTTAAAAGTCATGGATTCATTTTTTTGAATGTTAAAGTTTTTATGAATAAAGATGTCCGAATATGTTTTCTTATGAGGTTGTATGCTTGCACTACTGTGAAAAGCACCAAAGCACTAGAGTGAATTAGGTATGTACTGCACTCCATTGGCTTTTATTGATTCTTTTAGTGTGGATGACTTTGAATTCATACATCTTTCTTCAACCATTCTTGTTTTATGAATATAAATATTTAAGTAATGTGAGTTTATATTTCTTAATCTCTCTACAAACGCGTTACAGTTAGCACGGTTGGAAGTAATAAATTACAAAATTATATCACCTTGCAGTATTTGCCTTCTGAGCATCTTATTTGAAAAAAAGACTTTCCATACCTCTAAAAAGACTACAGTAGCATAGGATGTTACTGACTACCAATACAGATCTGTAATTGATACACTTTCCAGATTTTGTCCTATCAATAAGAAAGGAATGAGTTGCACAAACATAATACATAATTAACCGTTTTGTAGATTGTGTTGAATGAATTAAAGCCGAATAATAAAGTGTATCGTGCGTTGGTGGCACAGTGGTAGAGTGCTCGCCGACCACGCAGGTGGTCCGAGGTTCGATCCCCGGCCGACACACTCCTTTACCTCGCTAAACCGGTAATAAGACTGGTAAAGAGGGAAGGTTGGGCATAAGGCTAGCAACCCCATCCTGTAAAAATAATCACCACTGCTACAGAAACTTCAAGCCTCTAGCTTGAAGCCCCATGTTCCACTGGGAACGTAAAGGAATGGAAAAAAATAAAGTGTATCAGATGTATAAACAGGCAAAAACTGTGGCAGAATGACTTTTAAGAAGAAGTCTATAAGTGAATAAAGTTTGAAAAATTCGCCTATTTTAACTATTTTATTGATTGAGTTGAAATCCTTCTATTCCTTCAAATTACTCTTCTTTTATCCTCAAAATATCATTCATTCACGGAAAATTCCTCTGA